GGCAGTCATCTTTTTTAAAATCTCTCTCAAAAACAATTGCTGTTAGCAGTTTGTTATATATCTTTCCAGATCATTTTGATAAATGTATATGACTGCTTTTTGAGTCAGTCTATGAAATTAAACTAATTTTTATGTATCAAACAAGAAAGAATGAAAGATAATACCATGAAAACTAACTTGCATTTTATTATGGTAACTTTGTGTGGTATAAATACTGAGCGCATGAATTTAGAGGATGTGAACGTTCACACATTTAGATGTCTAATTAATGTCATTTAACTTTTTAATTCAATTTCTACAAAACGAAAACCCTAAAAGCACATAATAACCAGAAGTTTTAATTGTTATTTATAGCAGTTCTTCATTTTCATTTATATGTTTTTCCGTATTTTTGGACTGGGTCTTGATTAATTTTTAAGTGAGATTTTAATTCTGGCTGTGCTTAGACTGTTATCTTTGTATCTTATCTCTATTTCTACATAAAGTTATTAATAACCAGACAAGTTAAACATGGCAGCAAATTGTAGTATCTATAGAAAGGAGCAGGAATTTCTTTTAGAAAATTAATGCTTTTTTTTTGCAGCGTTTCTAGAATTGATCAATTTTGTAATTCAGTCACCAATTCTTTTCCCCTATGTGCAAGAGGTGGAGGTACCCATAATTTCTTCCAACTTAGTGGAGATAATGATTTTATGGCAAATCAGGACGTGCATTGTAAAAAGTCCCAAAAATACATGGCAGTATGAAAAGAAGTTAAGCTCCTCAACATCTAGGAGATATGACAAACTCGGATGCGGCCTGCATCAGTTTCACCATAAAACTTCTAAAGGAAATAAACAACCTACGGCAGCATATGATAAGTGCCAGGAAGGTGATGTGGGTGGTAGAAAATAAAGTACTGCGAGTAGTCATAGAAAGAAGGAAAGAAGGATTCTTGTAGGGTAGAGAGGAGGAAGAATGCCCTAAGGAATGGCACAGAGTTTATTAGAAATAATAGAAAGCATTTATTCAGAGGATTAAATAATCATTCAGGAGAAACACGAGACTACGCACATACATATCAGATCATATCATTTAATTTTATTTCTTTTATTTTTTTGGGTAGGAATCTCTATTGCCCAGGCTGGAGTGCACTGACACGCCCATGGCCACTGCAGCCTCAACCTGCTGGGCTCAGGCGATCCTTCCATGTAGCCCTTCTACCTCAGCCTTCCAAGTAGCTGGAACCACAAGTGCGCACCACCATGCCTGTCGAATTTTTTTGATTTCATTGTAGTGATGAGATCGCACCAAGTTGCCCAAGGCTGGTCTCAGTCTCCTGGGCTCAAGCAGTCCTCCTTCCTTGGCTTCCCTGCTGGGATTATTATTATTATTATTATTATTATTATTTTGAATTGGAGTCTCACTCAGTCGCCCAGACTGGAGTGCAGTGGCCGCTCCTGACCACCGTAGCCTCGCCTGCTGGGCTCCGGGGATCCTTCCGCCTCAGCCTTCCAAGTAGCCGGAATTACAGGCATGCACTACCACGCCCGGCTGATTTTTTTATTTATAGTAGAGATGAGGTCTCGCTGCCCAGGCGGGTCTCGAACCCGCGGGCTCAGGCAATCCACTCACCTCAGCCTCCCAAAGGCGCGGGATTACAGGCTGAGCCACCGAGCCCGGCCTTGCTGGGATTATAGGTGTGAGCCATCATGCCTGGCCTCTGTTGAAATTTATTATTTGAAAAACAACATCAAAATATCACTGTAGAGACTTAAGATTTTGGATTGATTTAATTTTTTCTAGTGTGTTTTTATGGTGGGAGCAGGGGAAAGGCAGAGGAAGAGAAAGCAGCCAGCCCCATCCCATAATCTAGTGCTTAGGGCCCCTCATGGGTTGTTATCCAGCCCGGAATGTCAGTGTCAGGTTATGCAGATTCAAATGGTAGAGCTGCTTCTAAATGTTTGAGTTTATGGGGAGAACCCCCCAAAAAACTGGAACTGTTTTTTGGAGGGCAGACCCTTGGTAGTACAGGCTTCCCCTACTAGGTAAGTGTTCTAGGAACCCATTGGCATCAGTGTACCAGCTAGCGTTGTTGTGAGAAGCTGCATTCAGCTTCAGTGATTTTTTTTTTTTTTTTGAGTTGGCGTCTCACTCTGTCACCCAGGCTGGAGTGCAGTGACACACTAATGGCCACCCCAGCATCAACCTGCTGGGCTCTGGTGATCCTTCCACCTCAGCCTTCCAAGTAGCTGGAGCTACAAATGCATGCTACCATGCCTGGCTAATTTTTGGTTTATTGTAGAGACAAGGTCTTGCCAAGTTGCCTGGGCTGGTCTTGAACCTGTGGACCCAGGCAATCCACTCACCTCGGCCTCCCAAAGTGCTGGGGTTACAGGGTAAGCCACCGAACCCGGCCTCAGTGAATTTTATTTTGGAAATTCTGTCAACACGTTTGTCCAATTCATGGCTGATTTACCGGTCCACTTGTCCACACTACTCTGAGTGTTCAGCAGCTTTTGACCAAAAACGACATGACCCCTATGCTTCACCTTCCCTTCATACTTGCATCTCACAAAGAGTGACTTTGTTTTGTTTCCCTGGATGAAAAAAATCCTTAAAGGAAAACATTTTGCTGATGTGGAAGAGGTGAAACAAAAAATGGCAGAAGCACCAGAAGACATGATAATTGACATGGTAATTGACAAAACTTTTGAGTGATGGAAAAGACATCTCTAGCTGTGCTCAGTGGCTCAGCCTGTAATCCTGCGCCTTTGGGAGGCTGAGGTGAGTGGATTGCCTGAGCCCACGGGTTCGAGACCCGCCTGGGCAGGTGAGACCTCATCTCTACAATAAATCAAAAAATTAGCCGGGCGTGGTAGCACTCGCCTGTAGTTCCAGCTACTAGGAAGGCTGAGGCGGAAGGATCGCCGGAGCCCAGCAGGTCGAGGCTGCAGTGGCCGGTAGGGCTGCACTCCAGTCTAGGCAACAGAGTGAGACTCCAACTCAAAAAAAATAAAAATAAAAAAAAAATAAACATGTGAGAATAAACACAATTTTTTATAAATAAATTCCATTATTTGGGAGGAGCCCTCCCTCATATACTTAAGAAAACTGACTTATCACAGGTAAACCATAGATGTGCAAATTCTTATAGTGTGAATAGAAAAAAAAAGTTTCATATGATACTTCATTTACAGACTAAATTTGCATTTTAAATAAAGTGATGTCTTTCTTGTTCAAACCGATCTTATATGAAGACAGGTATTGAATGGTCATTGGAAATTGATATTGGAATGTGGAAATTGATGTGAACAGAATTGCTTTTCTTTTGAAAAACAAGGAATTGATAAAGTCAGCATTTTTTATATTATAGATGAAGAAATAGTGCCATTTTGCTCATAGTTTATGCCTACCTTTTACGTGTATAAGAAATACAAGTATTATTACAGTAAATTTTTAGCAAGGAGCAGATTTTTTGAGTTCTTGCAGAGTTCTAGTGGATTTAAGCCATGCCTTTAACAAACTTTACTGGGAAAATGTGGGATGTTTTGTTTGTTTGGTGCTTAGGATTTCATTTTACGTTTTTTCAAATACTGCCATTCAGCATTAATTTTCTCTTTCAATTGCAATTTAAATGGAAACTTTATTTATTTATTTTTTTGAGTCAGGATTTGAGCCAGCACTCTGTTGTCCAGGCTAGAGTGTAGTGGCACGATCACGGCTTACTGTAACCTCCAACTCCTGGGCTCAGGTGATCCTTACCCCTCAGCCTCATGAGTAACTAGGATTGCAGTAGCTGGGATTACAGGCACATGCCATCATGCCTAGCTAATTTTTTGATGTTTTGTGGAGACAAGGTCTTGCTATATTGCCCAGGCCAGTCTCGACCCCTAGGCTCAAGCAGTCCTTCTGCCTTGGACTTCCAAAGTGCTGGGATTACAGACATGAGCCACTATGCCCAGCTGGAAGTATATAGACTAAATTTCACAATATAGTTTCAGAATATGGAATTTTAAAATTTCTTTTAAAAATGAATAAATAGGCCAGACTTTCGGTGGCTCAGCCTGTAATCGCAACACTTTGGGAGGCTGAGGCAAGTGGATTGCCAGAGCCCGCGCGTTTGAAACCAGCCTGGACAACTTGGCGAGACCTCGTCTCTACAATAAATAAAAAAATTAGCCCGGTGTGGTAGTGTGCGCCTATAGTTCCAGCTACTTGGAAGGTTGAGGCGGAAGAATCGCTGGAGCCCAGCAGATCAACACTGAGGTGGCAGTGAGTGCGCCACTGCATTCCAGCCTGGGCGACAGAGTGAGACTCCAACTAACGAAAGAAAAATTAAAAATAAATAAAAATAATTGGTGACTTTTTAAAAACAGAAATAGGAAGAGATAAACAGTAAGAATTGTCTTAAAGATAATATTGTGGTCAACTATTGGTAAATTTTTAAACATATAGTATAAATTGACTGTGTTTCCTTTCTTTTTGAATTGTCGTTATCATAAATTATTGCTTAGAAATATTTTTAAGCATTCACTTGAAGTCATAGAATCAAATTTAATAAAAATTTAGAATTAAGCCTTGGCAGAAAATGTCAAAGTTTATGAGCATACACCCCACTGACAGTGAGTTGACAGCGTGTTCATGGTGAGCATGAGTTAATGTAGCCTTGAATTTGTATGATATGGCTGACCTTTCAGAGATTCTAACTAGATTCAGTTTTAAACATCTTCTTGCATATAGATAGAAGCTAGTAGAAACTTGTGTTTTATATAATACTGGGAACTTCACAGTGCTCGTAAAGGAGATGGTGTCAAATCAGATAGTATTAATAGTGTCATTGTATTTTTACAAAGGCACAAACTAAACACTGGGCACCTCTGAGTTTGGACTCTTTTCCCCGGGCACAAGCCCCATCCCATGTCCTTGCGTTGCCATGCTTCCCCCGAATGGCCAAAGGTACTGCGCAGGCTGCCTGTGAAACAGCACATGCTCAGTACCATGTATGGTTCTTTCTCCAGATTTCACCAGAAGTTTGAGTATCACTACTCCTGACCAGATGATTGAAAAAGCCAAAGGGGAAACTGCCTATCTGCCATGCAAGTTTACGCTTAGTCCGGAGGACCACGGGCCGTTGGACATTGAGTGGCTACTCTCACCAGCTGATAATCAGAAGGTGGATCAAGTGGTGAGTTTGATACCGACGTGCTCACTCAACAAATGTCAATGCAGCTGTGCTGATCTCATGGATGGGCCCTAGGGTGCGGGGAGAAAGCCCTAGTTGTCTCAGGCTTATGATCTCGGGGAGGAGGTTGGTAGGTAGAAAGTGAGGACACATGTGTAATGGTGGGAGAGGGATAACTAGTGACCTAAGAGTGCAGAAGAAGAAATGGTCACCAGACTTCTTAGAGAAGTTTTGGGAAAGAAGAGGAACTTATGAAAGTTCTGAAGATCTGGATTTGAATGTGTCTACACGAGACAGGGAATAGCAAAGCGGTAGTTGGAGCAGGAATGGTGTCAAGGCAGGGGTGTGTGGTGTGTTGGGGTGTGGTGAGTAACTGTATTTTATTAAAGGTTAGACAGAATTGAAGTTCTAATTTTTTTTTTTTTGAGTTGGAGTCTCACTCTGTCGCCCAGACTGGAGTGCAATGGCCGCTCCCGGCCACCGCAGCCTCGACCTGCTGGGCTCCGGCGATCCTTCTGCCTCAGCCTTCCAAGTAGCCAGAATTACAGGCATGCACTACCACGCCTGGCTGATTTTTTTGATTTATTGTAGAGATGAGGTCTCACTGCCCAGGCGGGTCTCGAACCTGCGGGCTCAGGCAATCCACTCACCTCAGCCTCCCAAAGACGCGGAATTACAGGCTGAGCCACCGAGCCCAGCTGAAGTTCTAATTTTTACTCAAGGATTCTATCACCCCAGAAGGGTCATTAGAACACAGTGTAACACAAGTACGCAATCTGTTTTCCTTATGTTTTCAAGTTAAATACTCTGTACAATGAATTTCTTAAAAAGCAAAACAAAACTTTTATAGCATAAAAACAATCTATTAAATATTTAATCTTTTTTTTTTCCATTTATTTTATTTTAAAGATGTGAGGTACAATTCAGGATTAGGTATACAAGTGATCTTTGCAGAGGTAAAGTTTGGGCTGACCTTTAGTCCCCACTTTGCCCGGTTTGAGATCAGGTACCCTTATTAATGTTATGTCCCTATCCCGCTCCCATCCCCGCCTCCCCAGCAGCAGTTTCTGGCTACTGCCAATCCCTTTCTTATAGTATTACGGTAAATGTCAGAGTGCGCTTAGGAGTGAGAACATGTGGTACTCAGTTCTTTGTTTCTGTGATAAATCACTGAGTATTATAGACTCCATTCTTAAATTTAAAAAATAGAGTATTATTACAATATTTTTTTCCAATCAAAGTAATAAAAGACTAATGGAGAAAACTTGGAAAGCAAAACTAGCACAAAGGAGGACACTTACCTTGTAATCTCAGCCCCAAGTACATGCACCATACTTGGCTTTTTTGATGGTTCCAGAGTTCTTTATTTAGAATTTTGCATATTAGCTTCGTCTGACACATTTAATTAAAAAAATCAATGTTAGTACATTATATGAGATCAGGGAAAGGAAAACAAGTCCAAATATTTAGGTGACTATAGTAGCATTTATATTTGGAAGAGAAATTTTGTTTTTACTTATTGTCCTTGTAAAAGGAAGGAGTATATAAAAGTTGAAAGTAAAGTTCTTTCATTTAATGATTGAAATGAGTGAGTTAGGTAATCCATATTTTTGGCAGATTCAGTCAGTTTACTTGCAATGTATTCGTGAAGGAAAAGTGTGCTTTTTCAAGTTGTGAGTGACTAGGGCCACTGCCTCCAGGGACGTAACCTCTTCCCCAGTTCTGCTCCCAGGGCTTCCTCCTGTCTCCCTCAGCAAAATAAATGGAGCCTGACTCATTCTGTTCCTCGCCCAGATACTGTGTTTCCTCCCGTTCTTGCCCTTACTCCCCTTTTCTCTTCCTTCTCTCCCTCTGGGGAAGAGCGGGCTTCTGCCCTAGGCCTGGCAAGTCCCCTGCTCCCTCATCACCAGTGCAGTGCCCGTCCTCCTGGAGAGGCAGGGCTCTGGTCCTGTGCTTAAGAGAAGTGAAGCCTGGGCTGTTTGTGGAGTGCACGGGTCTTCTGTGCTTCTGGCCTAAGACTCGTGAGATGAGTGAAGCTGTGACGAGGCACAGATAGAGACCAAGAAGCACAGTGTGCCTGAGCCTTTAGTGTGTCTGCAGATGGAAGGAGGAGCCCGTGTCTTCCGTGCTGAGTGGCGGGCACAGCCTTGCTGTCTATAGGAGTTGGGAGATAAGTGTGAAACTGAGGACTTGACTTTGAATGTCCATTTCTGGGCTGAAAGCCCAGTCTTGATGAGGTGCAGTGGCTCATGCCTGTAATCCCAGCACTTTGGAAGGCTGAGCTGGGAGAATTGCTTGAGCCCAGGAGTTTGACGTCAGCCTGGGCAACATACTGAGACCTTGACATGACAAAAAATGAAAAGTATTATCCCGGTGTGGTGGTGTGCACTTGTAGTCCCAGTTCCTTGGGAGGCTGAGGGAGAAGGATCGCCTGAGCTCAGGAATTGGAGGCTGTGGTGAACTATGATAGAGCTACTGTACTCCAGCCTGGGCAACAGAGGCAGACCCTGTCTCTAAAAAAAATAATTTAAAAATCGAGCCTCTAGCCTAAAAGAAAGAAAGGTAGAAGGGTTGGTTGAGGAGAGATTCATGCAGAATGAGGGCTTACTTTGAATTTCATTTGCATTCTGTGTTAACTGAGTCCCTATGATAGTATATTTCGGCTATCCCTGTGTCATCTCTTTAGTCAGCAGTGACTATGTGCTATATGGGCAGTGTTTTACATGCTTTAATTGTATACAACTTAGCCTTAAAACACACCCTACAGTGAGGATTACGATACATATGTAAAGAAGGAAACCAGCCCAGAGATTTGAAGGAGCTTGCCTAGGGTTACGTAGCTAGCAACAGATGCAGGTGGGATTTGACCCAGGTCTCTCTGACTCTCACACTTTTATTATCCCTTGCACTGCCTTGGACTGCCTCTCATGTTCCCAAAATCTGTTTTCTTATGTGTAAAGTAGGAACAAATATACCGGTTGTCTCAGGATTGTTATGATAATTCAGTGAAGTACTATATGCACAAGTATTTTATTTTGCAAGGTTGTGAGAGATACAGAAATGGTAGAATGTGCTGTGCCAAGTAGAATGGATCTGGTTTGTGTCTTAGTTATGTGATTTGTGTAAGTTGATCAGTGACAGTCGCTGCTTTCCTCAGCCTAATTTGTTAAATGTGTACAGTATACATCCTTGCAGAGTTGTGAGGAGAATTGGTGAAGACATGTCAAAGGGTGTGGTAAATGTGAGTTTCCCATTCTTTTCTTTTTTACTCACTCACTCACTCTCTTACTTTACTTTACTTACTACTTACTCTCACCCAGGCTGGAACGCAGAGGCATAATCATAGTTCACAGGGCCTTGACCTCCTGGGCTTAGGTGATCTTTCTGCCTCAGCCTATGGAGTAGCTGGGATCACAGGCTCCTGCCACCACACGTGAATACTTTTTTTTTTTTTGTAGAGGTGTGGTCTCAAGGTCTTGCTATTTTGCCCAGGATGGTCTCAAACTCCTGGCCTTAAAACGATCCTCCCACCTAGGCCTCCTAAAATGCTAGGATTACAAGCATGAGCCACTGGGCCCAGCCAGTTCCCCAATTCTTAACTACCGTTTGTGACATTGTTTTCATGGGAAAAATATTAAGAGAGTTTACAAAATAACCAATTGGGGGGAGATATCTTATTTGCCAGGGCTTCCTTACAAGACTACTAAAGAGCTGGGCTCGGTGGCTCAACCTGTAATCCCACGCTTTGGGAGGCTGAGCTGAGTGGATTGCCTGAGCCCACGGGTTCGGGACCCGCCTGGGCAACTTGGCGAGACCTCATCTCTACAATAAATAAAAAAATCAGCCGGGCGTGGTAGCACATGCCTGTAATTCTGGCTATTCGGAAGGCTGAGGCGGAAGGATCACTGGAGCCCAACAGGTCGAGGCTGTGGTGGCTGGGAGCAGCCACTGGATTCCAGCCTGGGCGACAGAGTGAGACTCCGACTCAAAAAAAAAAAAAAAACTACTAAAGTGTATGTGTAGCGAAGTGAGCTCTTTGAAAGTACCGTAGATTGAACAAATAAGTCAAAGGAAGATAGAACAACCTCATCTGTGAAATCGTCAGTGTTGTTGATAGCAGGTGTGGCAAGGAGATTGAGAAAGCGAACTAATGTCTTGTGTGTACAGAGGATGTCAGCTGGGATCCTGCCAACTGTTTCTCTTATTTACCTAGCAAATTGATATTGAGCACATTCTAGCTTTAAGCACTTCATCCATAAATAGATGCTCTCTCTAGTGGGTTAGGGGTAGGCAGTGTGGTGGTGGTGGTGGTGGGTGGGGGCTAAAAACAGAAGAGAACCCAAGTCCTTCCATTCAAGAAGTTACTACAGAAGAAACCTGGAGAAAAAGTGTTCTTAGATGACATTCTGATTATTCTGCCTATAATTAGCATCTCAGATAAAAACTATTTGCAGGATATGAACTGTAGTCACATTTCCTTATTATTATTTGACTTTGGCACCACTGCTCTTGGACCCGTGGGTCTCAATGAATGTGAAAAAGTTATTAGAAATACTAAACTAATTTTAGATTGTTTTAGAGATGACTACTGCAGTTCTTTTCCAAGTCAGATGTTACATAGATTTTATTTTCCCTCTAACTCTGGTTTAGCAATAGCTAAAGAGCTATTGCTGTCAAAGGTTATTAACAGTGGCTCAGAAAAAGTGGAATTAAGAAGAGGTCTTTGCTTTAGTCACAGAAGATTCATTGAAAGGTTTTGTTAACCTGAGTACACATTTCTTATGTTTATTTTATGGTTTTGTCTGTTAGGGTCTAGAACCCGCAAGTGCTTCCAACTTAGTACTAAGACATAAAAAAAGTTATCTTTTGTTAGATTCCACAGATAAATGGTGTCTTTTGCAGTGGCAGAGGGCAGTGTGTACTTGGTTTTGTATACTTGATTGACATACTGCAGCCTCAGAGGCAAATGAAAAATAGAGTATATAGGCATGAGCAGATCTGTGTTCTTGTCCAATTGCACTAAATCACTTTCCAGTATAGTATAGGGCTATATTATTTAATCATGTTGGGTCTTGGTTTTCCCACTTAAAATAGAAATATGGGGCTATAAGCAAGGATCACATTGATTTCTTTCCACTTTCTCATTCTGTGATTTGGATAATGTTAGGTTTCCTTATAATACTATGTTCTTTTTCTTTTTTTTCCCCTTTGGATTCTAATAGCAGGTGTATCCAGAGCTCCTTTCAGAGACACGTTTTTTGTTTTTCTTATTTTGATTTTCTTTTAGATTATTTTGTATTCAGGAGACAAAATTTATGATGACTACTACCCAGATCTCAGAGGACGGGTACATTTTACAAGTAATGATCTTAAATCTGGTGATGCATCAATAAATGTAACAAATTTACAGTTGTCGGATATTGGCACATATCAGTGCAAAGTGAAAAAAGCTCCTGGTGTTGGAAATAAGAAGATCCAGCTAACAGTTCTTGGTAAGTTATTTTTATTTGTATTAATGGGTTACTTAGTAACTGAATGAGTGGGCATAGTACTATAGTAGCAGCATTTGTGTAAGACAAACTTGGTTTTTAGTGTAATAATTTTAAACATTTGAAATATATTTTGCTATTGCCCAGGCTGGATGCCCAGGCTGGAGTGCAGTGGTGCAATCATGGCCCACCACAGCCTTGACCTCCTGGGCTCAGGCAATCTTCCCACCTCAGCCTCCTGAGTAACTGGGACTAGAGGCGTGTACCACCATGCCTGGCCAGTTTAAAATTTTTTTTTTTGTAGAGACAAGATCTTGCTATGTTGTCCAGGCTGGTCTTGAGCTCCTGGGCTCAAGCAATCCTCTTTCCTCGCCTCCCAAACTGTTGGGATTATTGGCATGAACCACCATGCCCAGCCTGAAGTACTTCTGACGTTGTCAGACAGCATAAGACATAAAACTGGCATATTTTGGGAGTTAGAAAACGTAAAAAGTGATCAACTTCTTTGTGAAGTTCATAAAAGCATATGAAAATAAATGAAGGGGTATTCTGGTATGAAGGAAAAGCCCTAAGCCAGGAGTTAGGACATCCAGGTTTTTTGTCTTGTCCTCAAAATTTTGTTTGAGACTTAGCTAGAATCTTTTACTTCCTTGGGCAAATCTATCAGATATCGTTTATTTCAAAAGCATTTGTTATGTGAAGCTTTTACCTTCAGAACTTAAATAATAAATGGGATTTTTAGGATAAATAATTGGAGTATTTAGAATGGAGGTGATGAACCGTGGCAGAAGGAATATTGAATTAGAGTAAGGCCCTTAGACATCAGATAGTTACTTAATCTCCTTGGCATCATTGTTTTTCATCCTTGAAGTAAGCAGATTAGACAGTTACTAGGATGTCTTAGAGCTCTCTCTATGATAGTTCTTGAGATAGTATAAGTTTGCTTTGTAAACTGTCAAAGACTGCAAAGTTTATTGTTATTCTCTGGATTCTGTGATAATGGTGTAAAAGCACTCTTAATCCCTACAAGTGGAGACATTCTGAAAGATTCTAATTCATAAATACCCTTCTAAAGCTTTATTGTGGTAGACTTTACACAGAATGTGGCTACCATGTAGAACACAGCTGTCCAGCTCCCTATTTTATGATAGTAAAGTTCCCTGTTCTGTGACGTAAGCGCTCATGTTTTGGAGGACACTTGGGGACCCACTTTTCATAGGTAGAGCTGACTGCTAAAATTTCTAGCATACCTTTGGAAAGGTATGCTAGAAATTTTAGCAGTCAGCTCTAATCAGGCCAGGTCTCTCACATCAGCTTTTACTTCATTACTTTTGTTTTAGAGAACTGATTAGGGGTAGGGTAGAGAAGTAGTTAAGTGTTGCATGCTAGAGCCATCTTGAATGCTGATCTTATCTAAAGAGTGAATATCAGAGCAGGTGGAGACTTGGAACAAGAATGGGGATTTTTGTGTTCCCCAGTGGCAGCTTCAGGGCTTGTCTGGCTTAGTAAGGTTTTTGCCGGCAGCATCCTTAAGTGGGCACTCGAAGGCGACCTGGAAAACATGCTCCCTCCTGAATGGCACTAGTTAGAAATGTTTCTTGTGGTGTAAAGGTAAGTGAACCTGAACAAGAAACCAGGAAAGGAATGAATATGGTAATGTTAGAAATCCTGACTTGCTTTGTCTTCATTAACGTAGCCTTTTTTTTTTTTTTTTAAATTAATGTGTAAACAGGTGGAGATTTAACAACTAATCTGAACTATTATCCCAGACCCAGGGATACCTGGAATTGTAATCCTGACTATACTTTCTTTCAACACTGCTTTCCAGGAAGTACTGAGTTAAGATATGTATGGGTAGCTGAACATGGTGACTCAAGCCTGTAATCCCAGCACTTCAGGAGGCTGAGGTGGGAGGATCGCTTGAATCCAGGAGTTTGAGACCAGCCTAGCCAACATAGCGAGACCTTGTCTCTACAAAAAAAATCAAAAAAATCAGCTGGACATGGTGACACTTGCCTGTAGTCCCACCTACTCGGGAAATTTAGGCAGAAGGACCACCTGAGTCCAGGAGGCTGAGGCCATGGTGAACTGTGATCACGCCACTGCATTCCAGCCTGGGGACAGAATGAGATTTAAAA